ACAATAGCTTCTTCCTCCCAAGGTGTTTAATTTTGCTGTGCTCCAAGAGACCCTGTATGCTGTGGAAAGTACATGGGCAAAACAGGCACCCCACGCCATGTGTAAGTAAGTGGTACATTAGCTCCTCCTCTGAGACTAGGCATTTGCAGGAGAGGCAACGCATGGCCTTCTCTCTTGTCCACTTTAGAAATGGTGCACGCACTGCCAGCTTTACCGGTTCAAGTTTCTCACTGGAGTTGAACTCACTTTGTTTGTGAGCCACTTTCATGTGAGCCTGGTAGACATTGGATGGGAAGAACACATTGCAAACTGGGCAGATTTTCCACTGCTTGGCCTGTCTGGCAACCAGATTCATATCTACCTCCGATGAAGAGACCTGAACAAATATGTTCTGGTCTGCACTGCTTACAAGCCCCTGGGAGGAAGACAAGCTGGATGGAGCACTGGAAATCTGCATACCCACACTGGGGGGTAGGAACTGCGTAGACACCTGGGATAAAACAGTCATGAGGCTAGCACCCTGAGGAATAGGCAGAGTAACAGGCATGGGGTCCAGCATGTAAAGGGGCTTCCCATTGACCTGTGTTCCTGTTGGAAGGAGCTTCCTGAAAACAGAGCCTGACTTGAGGAACATGGTGTTCTGTGAAGTGTCAGCTCTTACTAACTGGCTCACTGGCAGGATGCTGGTGCCAACAGACTGATTAAGTTGAAGCATACTGGGCCTAACTGATGGACGAAGCAGAGGAATACCAGAGCTCACACCCTGGTTCACAAGGATATCTGAGACCACCAGTTGTTGGGGGGGTTGCAACCCAGGTGATACCACTTGACCTGTAGGGAAAACCCTACAGGACACAGTCTGACAAGAGGTAAGAACCTGTGAGGGGACTGTCTGACCTACATGGAGAACTCTGGACTGGACTGCTTGGCCAGTGGGGAGAAGCCCAGAAGCTACAGTCTGTGCAGGAATCACAGAAGCAGGGGTCATCGGACCCTCCGGAAGGCCTGCCAATGAGACCACCTGACCCACAGAAATTGTTCCTGGTGATGTGGTCTGGAGAACCCCAGGGTTTTTTGAAAAGCCAGAAGTCAGAGTACCAGGCCTGATCAGTCCGCTTGTGGGCTCCACTGGCCTGCGTGTAAGCCCCACTGATCCGACTGCAGGTCCCACTGGTCGACTTGTAGATCCCATGGACTGTGTGAATGGTAAAATCCCAGGTTGTATGGCTTGACTCATTAAGTGATTGCTCACTCCAACAGACTTATTCACAGGCCCAAGTGGCTGGCTCACAGATAGTGCAGGAGGGTCTACAGGCTTATTAGGTGAAGTCTTGCCTGAGAAAAGGTCAGATGAGGGAGCTGAAGGCCTCAGTGTGAGGTTGGTCTGGCCCACAGGTAGAGGGCTAAAAGCCACGTGGGACTGGGCAGTATCAGAAAGAGAATTGGTGAGGCTCCAGGAAGAGCCTGGGACCCCCTTTGGTGGCTGTACATTGGCAGAGGTCACAGGTTGGGCCAAGGTCACTGGCTGCACCATGGCTGGGCTTGGTGTGTTCTGTGCCAAGGCAAGGTGAGACCAAGGTGGCTTGGCTGGAGCAGCTATGTGTACAGCCCTGCTGTGCAGCCCTGGTGGTCTGGACAAGCCTGCCTTTGGAACAGTGGGCGTTTGCTTCCGAAGCCCCATCCTCTTGTTGTGTTCTGAAATTATAGACCTCAACTTATTCTCCAAATCCTTGTGTGTATCTGATGTCAAAATATGGGCCATCAGATCATCCTGGCTGCGCATACTGGTACTACACTTTTTACAGAAGTATCTTTCAGGTGGTAGAGTGCTTGCCACAGAAAGAATATCACTGGCTGTTGGCTGTTGCTGGTCTTCCTTAGTTTGAAGGCCAACATAGGCATTAAGTAAAGAGTGAAAATGGGTGATCAGCACATGCTTCTTCATGCTACAGAAGGAAGTGTTGGAAAAGTTACATTTTAAACATGTGAAATGTCTTATATAACCCTTCAGTGGCTTCCCATTGCCCAGAACCTTGTCCTTGGGGCTGTGAACTTTCACAGCAGCTTCATGGAACAACCAGAAGTGCTCGCTCACCACATCAGGCCGTGAAGCAAATGAGCAATCTGGACACTGGATCTGCAACTCTTGGTCGGCCTCATCTTCATGGCAACGACGCAAATGATTTTTGAGAGAAGCAAGCACATTTACTGAATATTTGCAGAGGCTACAGCAGTATGGATTGCTTCGGTACCTCATTTTCTTCCTGAAAAAATCCCCTGGAGCAACATCTGGCCAAGATGTATTATAAAAGTATCTGTCACTTGGGTCAAAGCCTTTAAGACCTTTCAGCAATTCTTTGCTTCTGTCAAGTCCAATCTTCAGAAGCATGCTCTTCACCCATGGCCGCATACTTCTGACATAGTCCAGATTTTCCACAGGCACTTGAAACATTTTTAAAATGTTCTGCCCTGCAATAAGGGAGTATTTGTTCAGTGACACAGCTCTCAGCCATGAGAACCCAGCCTGTACCTGCTTCCTATAACCTTCACCAGCCATGCCTTCAGCCCTCCATTCCAACCCTCTCCCCACCCCCGCCGACCCCGCCCCCCTCACCCCAGGCACACACTGCCACTGCTGCAGTCCTTCCCGGGCCTCAAATCACAGCCTTCCGTTGCGGCTTCCCGTCACACCAGAGCCTCCCGCCACTGTCCTTCCCCGGCCTCAGGTCACACATGGGCCTCGAGCCACAGTCCTCCCCCAGCCTCGTGTCACACACGGGCCTCGGGCCACAGTCCTCCCCCAGCCTCGGGTCCCACACGGGCCTCGGGCCACAGTCCTCCCCCGGCCTCCGGTCACACACGGGTCTCGGGCCACAGTCCTTCCCCGGCCTCCTCCGGTCACACACGGGCCTCGAGCCACAGTCCTTCCCCGGCCTCCTCACACGGGCCTCGAGCCACAGTCCTCCCCCAGCCTCGGGTCCCACACGGGCCTCGGGCCACAGTCCTTCCCCGGCCTCCTCACACGGGCCTCGAGCCACAGTCCTCCCCCAGCCTCGGGTCCCACACGGGCCTCGGGCCACAGTCCTTCCCCGGCCTCCTCACACGGGCCTCGGGCCACAGTCCTTCCCCGGCCTCCTCCGGTCACACACGGGCCTCGGGCCACAGTCCTTCCCCGGCCTCCTCACACGGGCCTTGAGCCACAGTCCTTCCCCGGCCTCCTCCGGCCTCCTCACACGGGCCTCGAGCCACAGTCCTTCCCCGGCCTCCTCCGGTCACACACGGGCCTCGAGCCACAGTCCTTCCCCAGCCTCCTCACACGGGCCTCAGGCCACAGTCCTTCCCCGGCCTCCTCCGGTCACACACGGGCCTCAGGCCACAGTCCTTCCCCGGCCTCCTCCGGTCACACACGGGCCTCGGGCCACAGTCCTCCCCCGGCCTCGGGTCAGACACGGGCCTCGAGCCACAGTCCTTCCCCAGCCTCCTCACACGGGCCTCGAGCCACAGTCCTTCCCCAGCCTCCTGCGGTCACACACGGGCCTCGGGCGACAGTCCTCCCCCGGCCTCCTCCAGTCACACACGGGCCTGGCATCACAGCCTTCCCCTGCGGCTTCCGGTCACACTCAGGCCTCGTCCTTCCCCACCTCCTCCAGTCTCACACCAACCTTCTCACGCCCGAGCCCCCAAATCTTCACTTACACTGCGAGGTCCTCAAGCCTCTCCTCAGCCTGCTAGTTGGCGCGGCTCACCACCCACATGCCTTCCTGCACTGGCACGAGAAGATGGCGCCTGAAGACGGCGTCCAACTATCGCACATAGGAAGTGACGTTTCCTCATTTGCATATTCGCATCAGGCAGCCAATGGCATGAAGAGTGCTTGAGTGGCCTCCTCGGCCTCGCCTTTTCCCTTTCCGCCCACCCTTCCTCCAGGCACTGATGTCCTGCTACCTGTCAGTGTTGTCCTGTCTCCTGTCATATCTCTTCAAGGGTGAGATACAGACCTCATCCACATTCGTGTCTCCACATCCTGAGCCATACTAGGCACCCAATAAATGTCAGTTCAAGACTGAAGGAAGAAAGAAAACGCTACAACGTTGAGGTTTTCTGTTGGACAAGGTTCTAGAACGAGAAGATTGCACTAGTTGCTTTGGCCAAAGGATTATCCATGCTAGGCTTGGAAATTGTAGTGTCCATGTGGACCAAATAGTTGAGTTGGGGGAGGAGAGTCAACGTATAATTGCTGTTGCTACTCCTTACAATGAATGTCGTTTATGACAAAGGAGACTCAAAGAACTCAGACTGAGTGTGGTAATACATGCCTGTAGTTCCCGCACTCAGGAAGCTAAATCAGGAGGATCACAGAAAGTTAGAAAACAGCCTGGACTTCGTGGCAAGATTCTTTTTCAAAAATGTGAAGAATAAAAGGGGGAGGGGGTCAACTAGCCAGGGAAATGTCTCAGCAAAAGCTACTTGCCACATCTGCACAAGGCTCTGAACTCCAAAAGCCCCTCCTCTTTCTACTTTCCTCTTTCTCCTTCTCCCTCAACTCCCCCATTACACACACACACAGAAAGAGAGAGAGAAAAATCTAACTGTTTATGTAAAATTGCCTGTTGTTTTATTTTTATCAAGCAAAGATTTTTCAGGCAAATTCAGGTCACTGGATTGTAGTAGACTTAAGTTTCTCAGGATAAGCAAAGAATTAACAGAAGAAGTTAATGAAAGTTAGAAGGGATTTTGTAGCTGGATCCATAAAGTCTTTTGTACAAGATGAAATTTTCTCTAAATAAAAAATAAAATTAAGAGAAAGAAACTTGAACTAACATTTCAAAGTTCCTTATATCCTAGTCAGTTTGCATCCTGGAATAACTTATTCTGTAAATAAAATGGTTTCAGTCAATTTTTTAACTGGCCAAAGAAGCCAGCGGGACTTCCATAGTTATCAGTGAACAGCAAATGGTATCAAAATTTGCTAACTAGAAATCTGGGGCTTTTTTTCCCAGGTGCTGGTTCCTCAAAGAGGTCTAAGTGGCTCCTTACCAAACCTGCTCACCCGACTGGACCAGATGCCTGACTATTCCATCTTCCGAGGCTACGTCATTGTAAGTAAAACCATTTTGAAAAATCATTTTGTCAAGCTGTCTAGGAACTAGGGTCCCCTCACTGTCTGTCCTGTCTTTGCAGCAATACAATCTGGCAAACGCAATCGAGGCTGCAGGTGCTTACACAGTGTTTGCTCCAAACAATGAGGCCATCGAGAAGTATGTCAGGGAGAAGAAGGCCACAGCTCTAGTAAGTGTCAACAGCTGCAGTCAGCATTTTCTCTTTAAGATTTCTTTTTAGAGCCAGATGAAATGCCGCACACCTGTGATCCCAGCACTTATGAAGGAAGGGGCAGGCAGATCTCTGTGAGTTCAAGGCCAGCCTGGTCTACAAAGTGAGTCCAGGACAACCAGGGCTACTCAGAGACACTCTGTTTCAAAAGACAAACAAACAAGATTTTTCTTTTTTCTGTGTTTTTTAAATTTTTTATTATTTGTTACAATTTATTCACTTTGTATCCCAGCTGTGGCCTCCTCCCTCATCTTCTAATCCCTCTCTCCCTCCCGCTTCTCTCCCTATGCCCCTCTCCTAGTCCACGGATAGGGGAGGTCCTCCTCCCCTTCTATCTGATCCTAGCCTATCGGATCTCATTAAAACTGGCTGCATTGTCTTCCTCTGTGACCTGGCAAGACTGCAACCCCCGGAGGAGGTGATCAGAGAGCCTGCCACTGAGTTCACATCAGAGACAGTCCCTGTTCCCCTTACTAGGGTACCCACTTGGAGACTGAGTCTTTGGGCTACATCTGAGCAGGGGTATTAGGTCCTCTCCATGCATGGTCCTTGGTTGGGGTATCAGTCTCTGCAGGGCCCCCAGAGCCCACAGGTGGGGAAAGGATCTTCACCAAACCTATATCTGACAGAGGGAGGTCTAATATCTAGAATATATAAAGAACTTAAGAAGTTAAACAGCAACAAACCAAGTAAACCAATTAAAGAATGGGATTCAGAGCTAAGCAGAGAATTCTCAATAGAGGAATATCAAATGGCAGAGAAACACTTAGAGAAATGTTCAACATCCTTAGTCATGAGGAAGATGCAAATTAAACAACCCTGAGATTTCACCTTATACCCATCAGAATGGCTAAAATAAAAACTCATGTGACAACACATGCTGGAGAAGACATGGAGAAAGAGGAACCCTCCTCCATTGCGGTGGGAATATAAACTTGTACAACCACTTCGGAAATCAATCTGGTGCTTTCTCAGACAATTAGGACTAGTGCTTCCTCAAGATCCAGCTATACCACTCCTAGGCATATATCCAAATTATTTTTATTTTTAATGATATGTGTGTGTGCATGCGTGTGTGTGTGTGTGTGTGTGTGTGTGTGTGTGTACCTGAGTACAGATGCTCACAAAGACCAGAGGTATAAAATCCAGAAGTGTTATAACTCCGCAGTAGTTCCAATATCCATACCAGGAACTGAACTAGGGTCCTCCTTGACTGTAATACCCATATTTAACCAGTGAGCCAGCTGTCAAGCATCATCTACATTTTCAATTCATCAGTCATTTCATGTTTTTGTCAAAACCCGTTCATTCAGCTCTGCATACTTAATAGAGATACCCAAGCATGTCACAAACCTTCCCATGTCACACTACTGTGAACACAAAGAAAGAGAGAAACTAAAATATTTAACAACAAAAAAAAAATCGTAAGCTGAAGACATTTACCTAGTGTTCATAAAAGCATGTTCTCTCTCTCTATCTATCTATCTATCTCATTGTTTTTTGTTTGTTTGTTTGTTTGTTTGTTTGTTTTTCAAGACAGGATTTCTCTTTGTAACCTGCCCTGGATTTGCTTTGTAGACCAGGGTGGCCTCAAACTCACAGAGATCCGCCTGCCTTTGCCTCCCCAAGGGCTGGGATTAAAGGCATGTGCCATACGACAGGGTTGTGTTCTCTCTCTCGCTTTCTCTCTCTCTCTTAAATGTAGAAAAATGGCTTAACATTTCATTAGGGATATAAAATAAAAATCAAATGAAAAATAGTAATTTACATATCAAAGAAACATTTATAATTATAGTCCAAACCACTTATGTAGGCAGAAACCACTGTGCATTTTCTTGTAGAATTTTCCTCCAGAGTTATTTATTTTAACATCAGGAAAAAAAAAAATACCCCTTTTGCCACTGCAGCTTTTTCTTTTTCTTTTTCTTTTTTCTTTTTTTAAAGTCTTTGCATTGGTATAAATGATTGCAGCTATTTTGGGATGTTTTTAGGTGCTTTTTTTTTTTTAACTTGGAGCTATATTATTTTAAAGTACTAAAATTCTTGGAATGATTTTCATAGTCTTGCCACTAATATTATTTTATATTTTATCCAGAAATACGTACTTTTATGGCATCAACTGCTATATGCTGCATTTTTGAAGCTGAAATATTTGTAATATCAAAGAAATTATTTTTTAAATCTACTCACCACTTTTAACATGCTTGTCTAGATGTTCTTGAGAACCCCACCTGGAAATTTACAACTCATCTCATTATCTAATGTTCTGGGCCCCAATGTCTTGCACATGGACAAGCTACTACTTTGCTTTGCAGCCCCATGGTCTGGCCCAATAGAGCAGAATGTAGCCAACTGGCTGGTTCACTGGCTGACTTTTCCTTATGTGTGGCCAGGAGGAAGACATCCTTCGGTACCATGTGGTCCTAGGGGAGAAGCTCCTGAAGAATGACTTGCACAATGGCATGCACCGAGAGACCATGTTGGGGGTCTCCTACCTCCTCGCCTTCTTTCTCTACAATGACCAGGTACATTTTCAACAACACTCAAGAGCAAGTGTCACCACTACTATCAACTGTCATCTCCTCCATGCTGGCAGGGTACCTCCAGTACGTCTAAGCCTTATCAATAAGAAAGAGTTGTTTCTATTGAACCAGAAAGCAGTGGATAAGCTACATAGTCAATCTCCCACTTGAGTGTCCTGTGACCAGCCTCAGATAACCCGTGTAGCCCTCCTGACTGTGGTATTAGAGTCCCAGGAATAACAGGCACTCTTTCGCGATATACCACAAACCCAACAGACAGTCTTCAGTTTCTAAGATGGAAGGGAGATAATTTGCTCAAAATAACTTGTTTCTCTAAATAACTTGCAGGATGTGACACTGACTTCCAGAAGTCAGGAGTCTGATAATGTGCATAAGCCCTCCCCACCCACCCCAACCCCAAAATAAAAAATGAACATTAATATTGCACAATCACAGGGTTCAGCCACCACACAGGCATTGTGGGGTCACCTTACACAAAGCCTAAGGAGGTATGACTAATACTCATAAAGAAGATTTCATGAAGCTAGTTATCATGGCTGTGGTGTAAAATTCTGTTCATGGAGTTCAAATGCCATATTTTAAAACTGCATGTGACTTCAACCAGAAACAATATAATTCTAAAATAAGTCCTCCGATGAAAAACTTATTTAAAAATTATGTAAGAGTCAAAAGGGAGCCATGTATGTCATGTGCCTGTATCCTAGGATTATGGAGACAGTCTTGTGAGGTTTGCTGTTACTGTGATAAAACACCATGACCAAAAGTAACTTGGAGAAAGGGTTTATTTCACTTTATACTTTCAGGTGTAATAGTCAGTCACTGAGAAAGGATGAGGCAGGATCTGAAGCAGAGGCCATGAGGAGTGCTGCTTGCTGGCTTGCTTCTGGCTTTCTCAGTTTGTTTGTTTTAATAAACCTGATGACCACCTGCCTAGGGATGGTATCTCCTACAATGGACTGGGCCCTTTCACATCAATCATCAACCAAGAAAATAACATATATACTTACCTACAGGCAAATCCTATAGAGGTTTTTTATTGATTAGGATTCTATCTTCCAGATGACCCTACCTTATGTCAAGTTGCTATAAAAACTAGGAAGCACAGAAGCCGAGGAAGAAGGATCACATGTTTGAGGCCATCCTTGGGTCATCTGAGTGTCATGGTTTGAATGAGAACAGCCATCACAGACTCATATTTTGGATGTTTGGTCCCCAGTTAGTGGAACTGTTTAGGAAGGATTAGAAGGGTGGTGGCCTTGATAGAATAGGTGTAGCAGTGGGCTTTAAAGTTTCAAAAGCCCACATGAGGCCCAGTTTCTCTCTCTCTCTCTCTCTCTCTCTCTCTCTCTCTCTCTGACTGCTGTGTGTGGGTCAGGATGTACAGCTCTCAGCTTCTGCTCCAGTGCCATGCCTTTCTGCTTCCTGCCATGATGATCATGGGCTAACTCTCCAAACTGTAAGCAAACCCCAATCTAATGCTTCATTTTATAAGAGTTGGTCATGGTGTCTCTCCATAGCAATAGAACAACAAACTAAGACACTGAGCTACTTAGGAAGAGCTGCCAGGAAGAGATACAGGGGATAGCTGAAGAGTACAAGCTCACTGCATTGGAATGAGAATAATTGTGCAGTCTTAGCAGCAATATTATTTGATCCTTTAAAAATCTCTTCATTGATGCCAGCATTGAAATAAGTAAATTTTTATGTAAACTTTAAAAACTTTTATGTAAAAAAAAAAAAAAAAAAAAACAAATCTAGCTAGATATTTTTTAAAGGGCTCTTTTACTTTCTTCATTACTTGGAGGATAATTTAATTCCAAACATTTTTCTCTGACTCCATATCAGTGTTCAGAATTTAGCTAAATTCATTTTCCTTTTAAATAAATTTATTTGCCAGAAATAGCAATTATCTTGTTTTTAGAAAGCTTTCTTTTTGTTGTTATTTTTAGACTGTCTTCTTTATTTCATCAGGTAGAGATGAATACGCTAGTGCTATTAATTGAGCTATTTTCAGTGTTGTGATGTTCATTTTCTATTAGCCCAGAAATTTCCTGATTTAGAAAAAATTAGCACAATAGAAGATTTGCCTTTACTTTCTCTGTTGAAATGAAATTAGAGGGAAAGTGCTTTCTAACTGAGTAGGTGTGTTTATATAAAATTTTCAGTGCAACCCATAATTCTCTAGCCAATATCTCATAATGGAAATGATTCAAACTCTTTAAATGCCCAATTACATAGGAACACATCAAATGTTCTGCTATCTGGGTATTCAAAAATAGCTCAACATCCTGAAAATCTTGAAAGCTGTGCTATAATCACCATTTGAGGCTAAATTATTTTTCTTCATGATCTTCTCACTGCTCATTGACCTTGAAAGAGCAATTCAGGATAACCTCATCTATCCCAACATCCAGACAATCACTTCACTGCCAGCCAGTCATAAGAGACTATGGTATTTAGTAGCAATTTCAACAGGAAGAAGTATTGATGATGCTGTTTGATGTTGTTTTGTGGATCTTAAGTCCTTACTGAAGATAAACAGTTTATATGCTCCAAAGAATAAGTTTTGTCCCTCTCCCAGTCTCATTGTCATTTAATCTTTCTAAGAGTTGCTGGCAAATTAGCCAGCAGATAGAGCTATGATGAAAGGTTGCACTGTGTTCTCTGCATCATTGTTTGGGGTGACACCCATACTTTGTACAGTTCAGATGAGCATGTCCATAAAGCCAGCTTGTCAATGGGCATGAGCCTAAGGATCTTAAGCCAGTCATTTTTAAGCAAACATAAACCAATTAATTTGAGAGCTAGAGAATACCTTTATGAATACAACAATATTTTCCTTTCACAAAAAGGAGTGTTGAGGTTGAGGAAAGCAGTTGACACAATATCACACAGCTTCATGGTATCAGATGCAGGACTATGATTCAGACTCCCCTCTTCCGGGCCAGAGCTCTGTCAATTGTGCTACTTTCCAGCCACACTGGAATATCTCCTAGACTGTTGTCATTCCGAGGTATTGACATAACTTACTCGGTGTAACTTAATCTTACAATAGTGGTGCCATTATTGTCCCACTTTCTGCATCTCCTTTAATACAACCTTAATAAAACTATATCTGATTCTTTTGTTCACAGCTGTATGTAAATGAAGCTCCAATAAACTACACCAATATAGCCACTGACAAGGGAGTGATCCATGGTCTGGGCAAAGTTCTGGAAATTCAGAAGAATAGATGTGATAATAATGACACCATTATGATGACAGTAAGTTATATCAAGGGCCAGTGATGAAAATATAGTGGGTGATGAGTTGTTGTGGTTGTTGTTTTTTAATTTTTAAACATGGGGCCAGTAAGTAAACATGCTTGCCACAAAGCCCAACAACCTGAGTTCAATCCCCAAGACCCAGCTGGTAAAAGGAGAAAAGTGAATTCTGCAAGTTGTCCTCCTCACATGTAGTTAAAATGTTTAAATAATAAGAATAATTTTAAACTTAAGAATTTTCTATTAGATTATCTCAGGTTAATTCAAAACACCCTCATTTATTTTGACTAAGATTGTAGCTCATAAGCAAAGCACTTGGCTAAATGCATGAGGTCCTGGGTTTAATTCTAAGTGCTGAAAAAAAGAAAAAGGGAAAAAAAAAGATTACTTAGTGAGCATCCACAGTGTACAAAAAACAAAAACAAAAACCAAGGCTATAGATTACAAAGTTGAGTATACACAATCAGGGGTCACTAGGCTTATCATCTCATTGGCTGGACTGTAGCTAGCATGCCTGGTAAAGTTAGGTGAATGACTATGTTGAGCAGGACTCTGAAACCGTACCAGGGAGAGGTTCGTGGTATGACAAGTATTGGCTAAGGCGGGTGACCAGGAGAAGAATGTGGAACTGTGTGGATTCAGTGTAATACACATGCAATAGTTCACACTTGTTACTGCGTGCTGTGAAACAGAGTATTATCTCTTAGTAATTGTAACAACTGCTGATGTTGATACATGCATGCATCACTCTAAACATTTTATATGTTTTAACCCATCTGATCCTCACAACACCTGAAAAAGTGAGGATTTACAGATAAGAAAATTAGCCGCAGAGAGGTTTATTCACACAGTAGCAGGTGAATGGCAGAGGAGGGGTTCAAAGCTGGGCGGTCTGGCCCTAGAAACAGAGTCTCAACAGCGGAACTACAGTCAGGTAGGTACCAGCAGCCGGCCAGACCTTCTCCTGGTCCAGAAGGTGACACTCAAAAGTTTCTGCCATTTTCTTTTGTTCTTTATGTGTGCTATTTCAGTGGAATGTCCCAGATCTGCAGCCCTCAGCTGCACCACATTTTGTCAAGGCAGGCATTGTGTTCCACACATTGTTTGTCCCTGTGTCTGACCCAGTTCATTAAACAAGAGTTCCAGTGCATCAGTAATTCTTTGAATGAGTATTGTCTTCCATGTTCTAAGAGATTATGAGATTCTGGTTACAGTTGTAGATGAAAGCAGTGTTCAAACATTCAAGACCTGGGGTAAAGAGCTTGCCTCAGGGAATATTAACGAGATTGACCAGATGTTCTGCCCTAGTTTTCAGCTCTGCGTTCTAAAACCTGAAGCTCTTGGTTCTTCTTTGTGGCCTCTCTTTGCACTGAAATTAATAGCCTTGACATGTCATCTTTGTCTCTACACTTTTTACCAAGGGCAAGTGTGAGAAGTGTTCCCTGCAAACAGTCTGCCCACTCGGAACAAAACCCCTGGTAAGTACTCTTATCTTATTTGTTAAAACAAAATGAAACAAAAAAAAAAATTAAAATCCCAGCCTCCAGATAAGAGAAAGTCCAAATTGGTCTACAAATGGGAGGAGGTGGATGTCTGTGCTCTGCATACTTCCTTTTAGTTTAGTATTGTTTTTGTCAATGAAATTTATTCTTTAACAGTTCCATACATATATAAAAAATACATTCTGATTAAACTCACTTCCACCCTCTCTTACCTCCTTTCTACCTGTAAAAGAAACTTTTATTCACCTGATTTAATTGTCGCCTCTGAGGCTAACTGCCTCTGTCTGCTAACCTAGGCCTAGTCCTGGAAGCTTCTAGGCTCCGTACAATCTAAACTAGGCCTAGAACGTTTTCAGCCTGAGACTTTCTGCTGAATAAGCTCACCTTTTCTCTGAGATTTGGCTTAAACTCCTCTCTAAGCTAAGTGATTCATCCTGGTTTCTCTCAGTTTCCGACTGAGTTGCTCAGTTCGGCCTCATACTAACTTTAGCAATATGTTCTAATCTTCTGGCTTCTTCTCATTTTCTGGCTCCTTCTCCTCTCTCTCTCTCTCTTTCTCTGTGCTGCTCCCTTAAGTAGCTTCCCTTTCCTACCTCTTATCATGAGAGTTTGGCATATCTTATTCTGTCAAATCTTTTTCTGATTCATCACTTTGTCTGCTACTCAATTAGACATTACTTTCAAACATGGATGCTTCCTTTTTACAAACTAACTTTATTGTCATTGTTTGGGATTAAAGGCATGTGCCACCATGCCTGAACCTAATCTTTTCTTTACCTGAAACTTGCCCTATACCAAGCTGGCCTTGAACTCAGAGAACTGCTTGCCTCTCTCCTGGGATTAAAGCACCACCACTGCCCAGCCTGTCTGTAATTCCAGACAGATCACATAGATCACCTAGAAGGTCTTTGGATGTGATCTCTTGCCAGAGCAGCCATGTTCTACGTTAAAATTCCTCTATACCCACCCCTATCAACCCGCACATACAGAGATCCTTTCCCCATATTCATGTCTTCCGCTTTGTGCCCCACTGGGTTTAACCAGAGCTATTAATGTGACCACAAATATGGGGCTATTCTCAGAGCTGGATCAGCAGTAGAGACACAACTGAAGACAGTGACGCCCAGCCCCATCCATCAGTAGGGGTAGAGGGAGGGGTAGGCCCCAGAGCCTCCTCCCCTATCCTTGACCGACAGTGGACAGGCCCAGTGCAAGTGTCCACCACTGCTGTGCACTGCTGATCGCAATGGCTGTGCCTTGCCCAGGAAACACTTTTTGATGGCCCTGTTCTCCATGCTGGTATGCATCTTCAGAGCATTAAATGCAGTGTTTGAGGGATTAAGGGACATTTAATTAATAAGTAAAATAGAAATGGGCCCATAAAGCAACATGCAATACAAAAAGTATTTTTTCACCTTCTGTACTTTTTATACTAACCTGTCAAAGACAGGAGCAAGATACTACTTTATCTGAGAAAACAGGCTACATGACTCAAGGAATAACCAGTTGATACACTTCACCTACCAGGTTTCCTTGTATAATTGAGTACAACTGACCTTCTCAAAGAAACAGATATAAACATAGAAAAGTAAGCACATATTTAAATTAATTACCAATCTGTTTGTTATAGCTTATTTTTATACAAAAGCTACTTCTGTTACTATTACAAAGAATAATAAGCAATGGGTGCTTCCATAATATAGTGATAATGATTCATGATAAACAGTGAACATGGAATCTCTCACTTGGGTTTGAAGTTGATATTGTATATTATAAATTTTTGTGAGAAAATAGTTCTTTTTCAGATGTGGGAGACTAAAAATCAATAAAAAAATAAAGCTTAAGTTTAATACAGGGCTGGAAGGATAATTTTATATGGTTTATTTTTTCAATTCTTCTAAAACTGATTTAGACTTCTAGAGAAACATTCTGCTTAGAGAGCACTTCATAGTATGGATTCAGGTTTTCCACTGGGTTTGCAATAAGCAGCTCTGTGGGGGTTGGCTTTCTTTCTTATATTTATAGTTGTGAGCCTAGTCTTTAATGGCTGAGCCATCTCTCCAGCCCTTGGCTTTCATTCTTGCTTGTGCAGTAGCACCACAACCCTCCCTTTCCAGAATATGTTAGAGAAAAAAGTGTCACCCTGTAGAAATAAGGTATTAGTAGAAACTCTTTCGATTTCCCACCCTATCTCCCAAATAAATGACACAGAGACCTAGGAGATGTAGTCAACAAGCTTTAAGCTCTATAACTGGGCGGATAGCCATCTATTCTAACCTAATTATGTGAGTCTGCTACCTCTGAACCATTTTATTTGCCATAGCTGTCTTACCTTGACCTTCTGCTGTAACCCTCTATTCTCAAGGCGAATGCTTCCTCCTGCCCATAGTGACTTCTCCTTCTTCCTCCTCCTCCTGCTCTCTTTTCTCTCTACCTGAGATCCCCAGACTGTGAATACAAGTCCCACCTGCTGTCTCCTCTGCTCGATCATTGGCTCATATGCTTCTTTATTAACCAATCAGAGATAATTAGGGAGAAACTTTTATGCAACATTGAGACCAGAGATTCTTCATAGAAGTAACAATGCCCACATCTGGACTGCAAACAGATCTTGGTGCACAGAAATCAACATCTCAGTACACACTGCACAAGACCATCCCCTGACATCACCCACTTCCTCACCTACAGAAACTGGGAAACTTTCTTCCCAACTAAAAGTGTAACAAAATCCTCATGATTCTACAGGGGGAGAAAAGGAAATGCATCTATACCATTTACTTCATGGGGAAACGGTCCGTGTTCATTGGGTGCCAGACAAAGTGTGTGAAAACCATCATCGTGAGTATGAGCTGGACTTCCTGATGGAGTCCATTGTACAGCAGATTTCTCAGAATGCTCTGCCAGATGGTCTTCCTTCCATGCTCCTCATCGTCCTCATTGTTGTCACCCAGAGTAGGACTGGGTACAAGAAAATGTAGGAAAGCCTGTAAATCAGAAAACCAAAGTACTCGGTTGAGGAAGGAAGAAATTGGGGGTGTGGAAGATGAAGGGGATGACCCTGGTCTCACATCCCATGCATGTGCAATTAAACTTAACTACATTAATTAGTAGCTAAATGTAACCAAGAGGCAAAGGAAGTGGTCACCGAGGGAAGGGGCACATGTTCATTCAGAAAGTGGAACCCAGGATCTCTGAATGTCACTTTAAATTTTTCTGGAAAATTCCTTATAACTGACTGTCCTGCTTCTTCTCCAAGCGATGAAACCTCTTCTTTGAAGGGGTTAGGGTTTATGCTGCAGAGCTTGGGTCTGAAGAAAGTTTTAATGCACTGAAGAATAAAGTCAGACAAAGCTAAACAGACCTCCTGGGGCTTCCCTGAGCTACAAAAGGCTCTCATAAAATGATGAAGTATCCACTCCTTCCAGGGATGAAACAACATCCAGGAGGAGGGCCCCCAGTTTGGGGTGCTGGAGGCTTGTTTGTCTCCCCACCCCTCCAGTATTGTCTGTGCTTTTTTTGCTGCTTGGAGCTGTCAGGAGCACCAGCCTATAATCCCAGTGCTCAGAAAGTAGATGATCAGGTGTTTAAGGCAGCGTCAGCTCAATGAGACCCTGTTCCTACCACAGCAGTAACAACTTGACAACAGTAAAGTTTGTCAAGCTGGCCCAAGCTGGGCTCACACTGGCCACCCTCCTGTGTACTAGGATTACAGGCCTGCACCATCCAGGCTTCCTTTGGCTTTGTTCTACCTGCCTTCCCTCCATGGCATTCTTCATGTCTTCTCTTTTGGTCTTCCCTCCTCCCTGCCTGCAGGGCGGCAAGTGACCTGGGAAATTCCTGAACCTCACTCAGCCCTCGGAGGTCTCTGTCCCCTGTCCGTTAGAAACCCTGGAGTCTAAGAAACAGGCAGGGTCACACAGAGTCCAAGATTCCCCAAAGAAAAAGGTAGACGTGAACCCCATGCTTTGTCTCATTTCAGACGAGAGCATGCTGTGCTGGCTTCTTTGGCCCGCAATGCCAAGCATGCCCTGGCAAAGGTCAGAATGTGTGCTCCGGGAATGGCTTCTGTCTGGACGGTGTGAATGGCACTGGCACGTGCGAGTGTGGGCAGGGCTTCAATGGGACAGCCTGCGAGACCTGCACGGAGGGCAGGTACAGCGTCCACTGCGACCAAGGTGAGCATCGCTCTGCCCGGCCGCAGGGATCCATCAGGCATAAGACTCTCTGTGAGCCATGGGAAACTGAGGCAGGGAAATTGCCCTTAGTCTGAGACCAGTGGGGCTATAGAGAGAATCACTGATTTTTGTTTGTTTGTTTGTTTGTTTGTTTGTTTGTTTGTTTGATCCTATGTTATTTCCTTTGCATAGCACAGTGTTCCAAAACATTTCCTTCCAGTCATTGACCTGGATGTAGCCACCCACCTTCAATCTGTTTGCTGATATTTCCAGCCCAAGTCTGTCTCTCAGTTTGCCTGTATGTGCTAATCACTGTGATTAAACTTTCATTGCAGATGCCACTCAGTAGTCAGTGGGAGAAAAAGGCAGATCTATCCTAATGACTCATTTAATCCCAATCTGGAACTTTACCCGAATTGGAGCTATTGTGCCCATTTTACAAATATGTACCTCTCTTGATCCCAAAGCCTGGCTCTTAAATCAAATGGTCCTCTTTGGGAAGGTCATTCCTTTATCCACCATCAGCAAACAAGGTGCTTTGATGTTTAATCAGTTTGAGGCACTTCCTCTTGAATGTCCACACCCCTGCTTCCTTGTAACCAGGAACTCCTGCTCCTGCTGGGATTAGAAAGCGGATCTTCAAGAAAATGTTTAAAAAAAGAAAAAGAAAAAAGAAAGAAAGAAAGCGGATCTTCCATCCAGCTGGTCTAAACCCTCAATTCAGCTCTCATTGTTTTCTCATCAGCCCATCTTAGCCAGACGAAACTAGTACACAAATGAAAGGCTGAATTTTGGCCATGTAATGTAACATTAAAGTTAGAGTGTTGATTTCTTTTTCTATGTTATTTGGAAGACTTGCTTCTATTTATGGAACACTTCCTGACCTAGGATCTGTGGATGACTCCATGGGGTCCAAAGCTGAAGGCTTTTTTTTTTTTTTTTTGAAGAGTGGTATACATAGCTTTCACCAAGTTCCTATTCATTTATTTATTCATTCATTATTTTACAAGTCCATAAACACTTATCTATAATGTTCTTTCTTCGAGGTTCCCTCCATTACCCTGCTCTCTTCTCCTCACACTCCCACTGAACTTCTTTTTCCCAAGTCTACCTCCTAATTTTTATGTCTACTTTTTACGAACTAGTGTACTTAGTTAGGGCTGAGTTGCAAGAGCATGGGTCAGTGTTTATTTACTTGAGCAAGGGCATCGTGCTGGTGACAACACTGCTGAGGAAGATGACTCCACCTCTGCCTGTAACCTTACCTCCTTCCCCAGCCAATTAACTAATTCCTACTGTAAATAAGTAAACGAGTGCTCTTCTGACCAAGGCTGAGAACAGCACTAATCTAGGAATACACACAGAAATGTTTTGTTCGATGTTGATATTGTGTCTATTTAGCAAAATAGCAGTAATAAATTCCCCTCAAGAAGACAGGCGTGTTGCATGCCTGCTGTAATCCCAGCACTCAGGGAGGCAAAGGTAGGCAGATCTCTGTGAATTCAAGGCCAGCCTGGGTTACAAAGCAAGTCCAGGACAGCCAAGGCTACACAGAGAAACACTGTCTCAAAAAAAAAAAAAAAAAAAAAAGATCAGGTTTACAGGACCATGCATGAGCTTCTCTTGTGGAACAGACCTAAAATCCAATCAGAAATGTGTTGGTTTCCCGTTTAGTAATGGACACTGTTGCATTAACGGTCACACCTTGCCTGGCATGGCAAGAACATGGATAGTTCTGGTAGCCTTTGCAACCTCCCTGATCAGCAGCTGGCAGGGAGGTACTCCACACCTGGCACTGGTGTTTTTGTTTAATACCCATGGCTTTTAGGAGTAACATTGTCCACACTTCTTTTTTTTTTTTTTTAAGAAATTTTTATTTAATTGTTTTGTTTTAGTTTTTCTTTTTTATTTTTAGCTATTTATTTATTTTACGTACACCTGCAGGCCAGAAGAGAGCATTCAATCACATTATAGATGGTTGTGAGCCACCATGTGGTTTCTGGGGATTGAACTCAGGACCTCTGGAAGAGCAGCCAGTGCTCTTAACCTCCGAGCTGTCTCTCCAGCTCCCACACTTTTTTAAATAGTATTCTTTAACTTGCTTATGACATAATTGACTTTCTTATTTTTCATATTTTCATCAAATTCTTTTTTTGTTTTGTTTTGGAGACAGGGTTTATCTCTGTAGCCCTGGCTGTCCTGGAAATATCTCTGTAGCCCCGGGCTGGCCTCGAACTCTCAAAATCCATCTGCCTCTGCCTCCCAAGTGCTGTGATTAAAGGTATGTGTCACCACCACTGGATGAACTATTTTTTTAATTCTTGTGTTTATTGAACACTTACTATATGCTTGATGATACCTTGTCCCTTAACATTTTGTGCATGCCATCTGACTTATAATAATACCACTCTGTCTTCCATATTAAGCTTAATGAATTCTTACATGTCTACCCATAAATCATAATTCAACTGAAGGCAGGAGACACCTTGACCCCTCATCTCCCATCACATTCTAAAGGAGATTCAAGGTCCTGCTCCACAATGAGGGGACTATCATGTCTGTGTCTTTGGAGAAGACAGAGAAAACTGATTTCTACAAACCTGATATTAAGTAGACAGTTTTTTTGAGATAGGGTCTCACTATTAACCCTGTTTGCCTGGATCCCATATGTCTTCCAGGCTGTCCTTGAACTCCCAGATATCACCTATCTCTGTCTCCCAAGTGTTGGGATTAGGTGTGCACCACCATGCCCAGCTTTGAGGTCTACTCTAAGGATACTATGTGATCCTGGATTCTCAGATGACCTTAGCTGAGGGTAATTTGGCACTGAGTCACATTCCCATACAATCTCGGAACTGTGGCATGAACTGCTTCATTGAAATACGGCCTTTTTCACCTGGTAATCTGCATTCCAATGTCCTGTGACCCCAGACCCACAGAAAAGACCCTGCTCAGATACTGGGGTGCAGAGAAGGACACCCAGTAAATGGTAAAGGAAATATTGAACATGAGTCTAGTCATTTTCAAATGTTTTCCTGCTTAGAATGCTCTTGTATCCATGGGAGATGTAACCAAGGACCCTCAGGAGATGGATCCTGTGACTGTGACGTTGGCTGGCGAGGAGTGAAATGCGACAGCAGTAAGAGTTTTTCTTATCAGTCCCCAGTCCTTAACCCAGCTGCTCAGAAAACATGTGTTTTCCCTTCTTGTAAATACTGTTTTTATTTCCTCTTATGATGGGAATGAGATGAGAGCCATACCCAACCTTTATGAATATGCATCTTGGGCTGATCTCGAGCATTTCTTTTTCTGTTCTAGCTATTCCTAAGCCTACGCCTGGAAGCTTCTAGCCTCCAAACAAGCTAATCTTTTGCAAACCTGGACCTTGAAGGCTTCAGCTTCCAGCCTCCATCTGCTAATGTAGGCCTAGAATGTTTCAGCCTCTGAGACTTACTGCTTAATAAACTCACCTTGATAGCTTTCTGAACTCTTGCTGGCTGGTTCAACTCAGGTATTCTGGCCTAAACTCCTCTCCAAGCTGACTGATTCAACCTGACTTCTATCTCGGCTTCTGCCTGAATTGCTATGCTTGGCCTCAAACTCTGACAATATGTTCTAATCTTCTGGCTCCTTCTCTTTCTCTTCTCATTCTCTGGCTCTGCAACCTGTCTGTAAAACCAGTAAAACTCCCTGCTACACACACAGCTCACACTATGCTTGTACTACTTTTTTTGTTTGTTTGTTTGTTTGTTTGTTTGTTTGTGACAGGGTTTCTCTTTGTAGCCTTGGCTGTCCTGGACTTACTTTGTAGACCAGGCTAGCCTGGAACTCACAGAGCTCTGCCTGCTTAAGCCTCCAGAGTTCTGGGATTAAAGGTGTGCACAGCCATGCCCAACCCACTTCTACTACTTTTACTACTAGTAAAAAGCTCTTCTTCTTCTTCTTCTTCTTCTTCTTCTTCTTCTTCTTCTTCTTCTTCTTCTTCT